AAAGGACTCAAAAATCACAACAGCAAAACAACAGAGGGGAAACAAACAGGCACATAAAATCACTCTCAACAACGGATCCCCCCTGGGCACTTCCAAGTCATTGAATGCTAATCAAGGTGATCAGCTGAAACATTCACACCTAGCACCAGCAGACAAAAGTCCTTTGTCTCACCCTGGTCATTCCACAGATATATAAACCCATTTTTCCTACTTCCAACAGACCTCACTACCTCTGAGGATGCTTGCCATAAATGCAGGCGAAACGTCAGGAGAAAAATTGCCTCCAGAACATGGCCATATAGCCCGGAAAAACCTACAACAACCCAGTTATTATTATTATTATTATTATTATTATTATTATTACTAAGTGGCATCAAACTAAATTCGTCCTGTAGTGTAAATGCAGCCTTAATCTTCATGCTGAGATTAAATGTTGAGTCCCAGTTCTGGTGGAGCTGAATCCACGCCATTCATCCTGTCTCCATGCTGACCTCCTTCCCATCCACCTGTCCTGCCACTGAAATAAAAGAGTAGGAGTTACGACCCTAGGGCATAAACCAAAGTCTGGAAACAGAGGAGAATGGGGGGGGGGGGGGGGCCACACTTGCCAGAAACAAAGTGGTAGCGTATTGAAAGTAATCCCTAAAAACAGGAGTTGGCGAAGGACGGATACAGCTGTTTTTGCAAGTTCTGTCTCCCACCCAGATCCTTCCACCTGTTCCATCAAGAGGGGGAAATTACTCACTGCTTTTGGAAGCCCTTAAACAAAACCTATATATATATATATATATATAAATGCTCTGTGCATAATGAGTTCCTTAAAAACAAAAAAACCAATGAACAAAATCACACCAAGTTTGGCAACAAAACATCTCTCAACACAAGGAGTGACCATCACTCAAAAATTATGATTTTGTCATTTGGGAATTGTAGTTGCTGGGATTTATAGTTTACTTACAATCAAAGAGCATTCTGAACTCCATCAACGATGGAATTGAACCAAACTTGGCACACAGAACTCCCATGACCAACAGAAAACACTGGAAGGGTTTGGTGGGCATTGACCTTGAGTTTGGGAGTTGTAGTTCCCCTACATCCAGAGAGCACTGTGGACTCAAACAATGATGGATCTGGACCAAACTTGGCACGAATACTCAACACGCCCAAATATGAACACAGATGGAGTTTGGGGGAAATAGACCTTGACATTTAGGAGTTGTAGTCACTGGGATTCACAGTTCACCTACAATCAAAGAGCATTCTGAACACACCAACGACAGAATTGGGGCAAACTTCCCATACAGAACCCTCATGACCAACAGAAAATACTTAAGGCCATCCAATCCAACTCCCTTCACCAGGGCAAGAAATCATCATCCATGCCCTCCCGACAAAGAGCCATCCAGCCATAGATATAGATAGATAGATAGAGAGAGAGAGACAGAGAGAGAGAGAGATATTATTCACACACACAGAGATATAGTATCATAGATTTGAAAGGGACCTCTAAAGAAGGACAATTATATGTCGCATGTTCCAGACTGGGCAAACCAGACACTCTCACATCAACACTGACAAAGAAACAGGAAGAAATACTGTTTACTCACAAGCATAAAGAAATTATATATATTAGAAACCAACACTTTCTCATTACTTTATTTTCCAGATCAACAGACTGGGCCACAGCAACATGTGGCAGGGGACTGCTAGTACTTTATAGTCAAACAAGGCATGTGGTCTTGTTGTGGTTCAATTTTTTGAGCTGAGGATTGTTTAATAGAGGGTTGTGAAAAAGACGGCTACTGACAAGAGTTTTTTCTCCCTTGCTTCCTCCTTCTTTCTAGGGTAGTTTTGTTGCCTGCATGATGGCCATCTTGAAACAAATGGACGATGCTCATTACAACCACTACATCAGCACTTTCAAAACAAGACAAGATCTTATCGTACGTTTCCTTGCATTTCTGGGGTGGAATGTGATAAAATGCATTTGCTCACTGTATTGTCGAAGGCTTGCATTTTGCATCTTTGCTCATTCTATTGTCAAAGGCTTTCATGGCCGGAATCACTGGCTTGTTGAGAGTTTTCTGGACTGTCTGGCCATGTCCCAGAAGCATTCTAGGCAAGTTTATTTATTTATCGTGTCATCAGCAACCATACCATTATATTACAATTCTAACAGAACAAAACATACACGCAGATTAAAAAGGAAAAAAAAAAAAACACAGAGATTTTGCAAACTTGGTAGTTGGTTAAATGTCTTTTGACCAGTATCTGGCCACTTGGAGTGCCTCTGGTGTTGCCACAAGAAGGTCCTCCATTGTGCATGTGGCAGGGCTCAGGGTGCATTGCAGCAGGTGGTCAGTGGTTTGTTCTTCTCCGCACTCGCATGCCGTGGATTCCACCCTGTAGCCCCATTTTTTAAGATTGGCTCTGCATCTCGTGGTGCCAGAGTGCAGTCTGTTCAGCGCCTTCCAAGTCGCCCAGTCTTCTGTGTGCCCAGGGGGGGGTCTCTCATCTGGTATCACCCACAGATTGAGGTGCTGGGTTTGGGCCTGCCACTTTTGGACTCTCGCTTTCTGGGGTGTTCCAGCGAGTGTCTCTGTAGATCTAAGAAAACTATGTCTTGATTTAAGTCGTTGATGTGCTGGCTGATACCCAAACAAGGGGATGAGCTGGAGATGTCACTGCCTTGGTCCTTTCACTATTGGCTGCTACTTCCCGGCGGATGTCAGGTGGTGCAATACCGGCTAAGCAGTGTAATTTCTCCAGTGGTGTAGGGCGCAGACACCCCGTGATAATGCGGCATGTCTCATTAAGAGCCACATCCACTGTTTTAGTGTGGTGAGATGTGTTCCACACTGGGCATGCATACTCAGCAGCAGAGTAGCATAGCGCAAGGGCAGATGTCTTCACTGTGTCTGGTTGTGATCCCCAGTTGTACCAGTCAGCTTTCGTATGATGTTGTTTCTAGCGCCCACTTTTTGCTTGATGTTCAGGTCAGAGCACGGTCCAAAGTGACTCCCAGGTATTTGGGTGTGTTGCAATGTTCCAGTGGGATCCCTTCCCAGGTAATCCTCAGAGCTCGGGATGCTTGTCTGTGTTTTAGATGGATTAGGGATCAGCTGGTTTTCCCTGTAATAGGCAGTAAGAGCACCTAGAGCTTCGGAGAGCTTCTTTTCAACCATCTCAAAGCTCCCTGCTTGAGTGGTAATGGCACGATCATCAGCATAGATGAAACTCTCTGTCCCTTCTGGCAGTGGCTGGTCATTTGTGTAGATGTGTAGACTAGGCAAGTGAGGTTTATATATCTATGGAATGATGTCCAAGGTGGAAGAAAGAAAGAACCTTCTCTGTTGGAGGCAAGCGTGAATGTTGCCATTGACCAATTTGATTAGCACTGAATAGCCTATTAGTTTCGAGGTCTGGCTTCTTACTGCCTGGGGGAATTCTTTGTTGGGAGGGGATTAGCCGGCCCTAACATTCCATAGATATATAAACCGCATTTTCCATTTAGCTTCCAATATTAGATAGGATAATAATAATAATAATAATAATAATAATAATAATAGTAATCTTTATTTATACCCCACCACCATGTCCCCAAAGGGGACTCAGGGCACCTAACATGAGGCCAAGTCCAAAGGAACAATACAGCAAAATAAAATACATACAGCAAAAATTACATCAGAATAAAATGCATACAGTAGCAAAATTACCTAAATAAAGCAAATTAACACAATATAAAATCGAACAGAATGCGCAGGCTGAATAGACGAGGTGAAATGATAAAACCCTGGATGAGGTAGGAGTAGAAAATATGTAATTGAGGGGAACCCAAAGGATAAACTGTGAGATAGGTTTGCAGTTTAGGACGGGGGAAAGTGCATCATAGGGACAACACTATGGATGAAGCAGACAGAAATGGGTACATTTCTGGTCCATTTAGGATCTGGTACATTTAGGGTATTTAGGTGTGGAATAAAACAGCAGCAAATATGGGTCAAATACTGTGTTGTTGAAGGCTTTCATGGCTGGAATCACTGGTTTGTTGTGAGTTTTCCGGACTGTCTGGCCATGTCCCAGAAGCATTCTCTCCTGACGTTTCACCCACATCTATGTCCGGCATCCTCAGAGGTTGTGGGGTCTGTTGGAAACTAAGAAAATTGGGTTTATATATCTGTGGAATGATGCCCAGGGTGGGAGAAAGAACTCTTGTCTGTTTGAGGTAGGTGTGAATGTTGCAATTGGTCAACTTGATTAGCATTTAATAGCCTAGCAGTTTCAAGATCTGGTTTCTTACTGCCTGGGGGAATCCTTTGTTGGGAGGTGATTATCTGGCCCTGACATCCCACAGATATATAAACCCAATTTTCTATCTTAGTTTCCAATATTAGATAGGATCTGGTACATTTATGATATTTAGGTGTAAAATAAAACACAGAAGCAAATACGGGTCAAATACTGTGTTGTCGGAAGGGTTCATGGCCAGAATCACTGGTTTGTTGTGTGTTTTCTGCCCCAAGTCCCCATTGGGGAGATGGTGGTGGGGTACAAATAATAATAATAATAATTATCATTAACATTATTATTATTATTATTATTATTATTATTATTATTTTCCGGGCTGTCTGGACATGTTCCAGAAGCATTCTCTCCTGACATTTTGCCCACATCTATGGCAGGCATCTTTGGAGGTTGTGAGTTCTGTCGGAAACTAGGCCAATGGGGTTTATGTATCTGTAGAATGATGTCCAGGGTGGGAGAGAGAACTCTTGTCTGTTTGAGCTAGGTGTGAATGTTGCAATTGGCCATCTTGATTAGCATTGAACGGCCTTGCAGCTTCAAAGCCTGGCTGCTGATGACCCAACTTGGACACAGCATATTATTTGAGAACACAGAAATGCTGGACCACTCTCACAACCACCATGTCAGTCTACACAGAGAAACCACTGAAATCCACAAGCATGTGGACAATTTCAACAAAAGGGAAGAAACCATGAAAATGCACAAAATCTGGCTACCAGTATTTTAAAAACTCTAAAATCAAGACAGTAAAAAAAATAACAACATTCAAAAAAAATGGATTTCCAGACAAGAAACAATCAGGGCCAGGTAATCACCTCCCAACAAAGGATTCCGCCAGGCAGTAAGAAGCCAGACCTTGAAACCGTTAGGCCATTAAATGCTAATCAAGGTGCTCCCTCTATTTTATCAGCGTTATACTTATTTTGTTGACCTTGTTTTGTTGAGCTTGTTAACCAAAAGGTTGCAGGTTCGATTCCAGGGAGCGGCATGAGCTTTCGCTTTCAGCCCTAGCTTCTGCCAACGTAGCAGTTCGAAAACATGCAAATGTGAGTGGATCAATAGGTACCGCTCCGGCGGGAAGTTAACGGCGCTCCGTGTGGTCATGCCGGCCACATAACCTTGGAGGTGTCTATGGACAACGCCGGCTCTTTGGCTTAGAAATGGAGATGAGCACCACACCCCAGAGTCAGACATGACTGGTTTTAATGTCAGGGGACAACCTTTACCTTTACCTATACTTTTGACAAGAAATAATAATACATCTTAAGTGATCGACATTTACTTGAATTTAATTTTTGGTCTCTTTCTTGCATTGAGTTATTTTGAGCTAACTCAAGGCCAGAGCAACTAACAGCAATAATATAACATGGAAAAATTTGGAAGCAAAAGGCAGGGTGTCCGTTTGGAGGTTGGTATTTGTTTAGTTCCCTCTGGAACAAAAAAAAGGGGGAAAAGACATTGGGAGACCTGCCAAAAGCTTTGGAGATTTTGACTTTATTTAGTCCGATGGGAAGTTGGCAATTTGGAACCACTGGGCTTGGCTTCCAGCTGTGTGTTTATGACTGTTATGGACATGTGACCCATTTCCAACTGGAATCCCCAGGCCATTCAGATCATAAGCAACGTCTGCGGATGCTTCTCCTTTTCATAATTTCCACTCTGGGATTGAATTACTCAAACGCTCCTTTAATGTTGATGATCTTAGCAAACGATGTGGGAAGTTGGCTTTGGAAGCAGTTAAAGCTGCTGGCAGTCGCCTAGTATAAAGATCTCTGTTGTTTTCAGAGCCTCCCCACCCACAGCCTTCCAGTCTGCAATTGAAATCAGTTGCAATGTGTGAACCTCCCAGGCAGCGTGAGGCAGCCGCCTCCAGCAGTAGGTTTAGGATATAATGATACGACAGGAAAATGGTTAGCGATTTTGTTATGTCAGCCATCCCCCCACATTCAGAGTTTTGATTTTTGCAGATTGTGATTATTAAAGGATTTGATTTTAAATGGTTTCTCTAACCATCTCTAGATGTATTGTCGAAGGCTTTCATGGTCGGAATCACTGGGCTGTTGTAGGTTTTTCAGGTTGTATGGACATCTCAGCGGCTTTCGATACCATCGATCATGGTATCCTTCTGGGTTGACTCTCTGGGATGGGTCTCGGGGGCACGGTTGTGTCGTGGCTCCGATCCTTCCTGGAGGGTTGATCCCAGATGGTGAAGCTGGGAGACGCCTGCTCGGACCCCTGGCCTTTGACCTGTGGGGTCCTGCAAGGCTCTATTTTGTCTCCCATGCTCTTTAACATCTACATGAAAACGCTGGGAGAGGTCATCCGGAGTTTTGGAGTTAAGTGCCACCTCTATGCAGATGACACACAACTCTATTACTCATTTCCACCTAACTCCAAGGAGACCTCCCGGGTGATGTGTCTATCTGGATGAGGAGGAACAAGCTGAAGATCAATCCCGACAAGACAGAGGTCCTCCTGGTCGATCGCAATCCGGACCGGGGTATAGCGTGGCAACCTGTGCTGGATGGGGTTACACTCCACCTGAAGCCACAGGTCCCCAGTTTGGGAGTCCTCTTGGACTCATCGCTTACGCTTGAGGCTCAGGCGTCGGCGGTGTCCGGGAGGGCATTTGCACAATTGAGACTCGTGCGCCAACTGCGACTGTACCTCACGAAGGCTGATCTGGCCGGGGTGGTCCATGCCTTGGTCACCTCTAGATTGGACTACTGTAATGCGCTCTACGTGGGGCTGCCCTTGAAAACGGCTCGGAAATTTCAACTGGTCCAATGAGCGGCAGCCAGGATGTTAAGAGGTGCTCCTTACAGAGAGAGGCCAACCCTCCTGTTCAAGGAGCTCCACTGGCTGCCGTTTATCTTCCGAGCCCAATTTAAGGTGCAGGTGCTTACCTACAAAGCTCTGAACGGTTTGGGACCTGCCTACCTGCGTGACCACATCTCCGTTTATGAACCCACGCGCTCACTTCGTTCATCCGGAGAGGCCGTGCTCGTGATCCCGCCTACATCGCAGGTGCGTCTGTGGGGACGCGAGACGGCCTTTTCTGTGGTTGCCCCCCGACTCTGGAACACCCTCCCCAAAGATCTTAGACAGGCCCCTACGTTGGCAGTCTTTAGGAAGAACTTGAAGACCTGGCTGTTCCGATGTGCCTTCCCAGAATAGGAAAACTCCAATAACAAGTCCCAGAAGCACTTTAGTAGAAATTAAGATTGCTGGCACACTGCACTTACCCTATAATCCTACATATCACCTGTCACTTCAGCACTTTTAATCTGTACCCACTACTCTGGGCCGGCTCAGTTTTATTGTGTCTTGGTGTATTGTTTTATTGCATGTTGTTTTTAATATTGCTTAACGGTTTTGATTTGCTTTAGGTTGTGTTTTGTTATATTGTGTTTGAGGCCTTGGCCTTTGTAAGCCGCATCGAGTCCTTCAGGAGATGCTAGCGGGGTACAAATAAAGTTAATAATAATAATAATAATAATAATAATATGGCCATGTTCTAGAAGCATTCTCTCCTGAAATTTTGCCTGCATCTGTGGCCAACATCCTCACAACCTCTGAAGATGCCTGCTGTTGCAACTCAGGGTAGTTTTCACCTTGCTCCAGACACCACCACACCAAGGGTGTCGGTTTTTTGTAGTTTATTGAGAAAAGCAAAATCAAAACAAAGAAACAGAAATGCAATAGGTCCATAGGCAAAACAGAGACTTAAATGTAAAGGCAAAGTTTCCAAGATCCAAAGGCAAAAACATGAAGCATAATCCCTTAGCAATGGTCAAACAAAAGTCCAAGGTAAACAGTTGAAAACAAGACACAAATCCCAGACTTAGGAAGCCAGAAGCGTGCTGCAAAAAGCCAAGGAAAATCTCCAGAAGTTAACGTGGGAAGAACAATGTTGGACGGACAACAGCTGCCTGTCAGCTACAAGACTAAATAAATACCCTTTGCGAACATGAAAGCATTGTGTTGACCTTGGGCCCCTTTGTCTTCTCGCTTGCTGGCCAAGCGAGTGCTTCTCCAAAACTTTAATTGCAAACTATCTTGTCTGCTCATTAATTCATTATCTGCAAGGCTATGCAACCCCTTATCTGGGTCCAGCTGGGACGGATCCTCCACCTGGGATTTCATTCTCGCTATCAGTCTCTCTAACTGCAGGAACATTCCTTTCCCCGGGGAACTGACTTGTTGTTTCTCCTTCAGCAGCCACACTGTCAGCCCCGTCTGAAACATGTACAGGAATCTGTAACCCATCAGCCTTCTCATCATCCTGCAGGAAATCGGGCTCAGAAGGCCCAAACAGCCCAGCTTCAGACTCAGAGTCAAGCTGAGTCATGACACCTGCCACAGATGCAGGGGAAACGTCAGGAGAAAATGCTTCTAGAACATGGCCATACAACCTGAAAAACCTACAAGATCTCTAGATCTTCCGGTTTCCAGCCAACTTCCTCTAGTCCAGTGTTTCTCAACCTGGGGGTTGGGACACCTGGGAGGGGGTCGTGAAGGTGTTTCAGAGGGGCTGCCAAAGAAAACATATTTCTGATGGTCTTAAGAACCTCTTCGGCAGAGAAGGCTGAAGATCTCTCTGCCTGTTGTTCTCTTCCTTTTGTTGCACTCCAGAACAGGAAAAGCACTCTGACTGTAAACACCACACCATTGATTGGAAAACAATCCTTTTATTGAAGATAATTAAAAAACAGCAAAGTAAAAAGCGCTTTAAAGGAATAGGTAAATCCAATTAGGTAAGAAGATAAGCAGGAGCAAGAGTAGTCCAGGATAAGATTCAGCAAAGTCCATAAAAGCAAAGTCCACACTTCTCTAATGTAATTCAGAAAACCAGGAAACATTAATCCAAGGCACGAGTAGGCATTCATACAATCCAAGAATCCAAACTATGAACCAAGAAAATACTTAGACAAGAACATTCCAAGCAAGGCTTCCATACAACAAGGATGAGAACTTCCCTTGATTCCAAATGATGCTTCATCTGACTATATTTCCCATACTTGGAACTTTTATCCCCTCGTTAAGCTATTCCACGCACTCAGGAATTGAGATCACTTTATCTTTTTCTGTCGGAGCCTGGCAGAACTCTGAAGCCACTGTTCGGCCTGTCTGTTTTGACAAATTTCCTCTCGCCTATCTATTTGCTCTTTAAGTTTTGCAGCTGGGCCAGGTGCCCAGTTGTTTTCAAGCCCCAAATCCTGCGACCCCTCTGGTATCAATTCAGGGAGTACACCATCATCCCCACACCCTTCAGGGACATTCTCATGGGAAACTACACTTTGCAGAGGGGTCTCCTGGTCCTTCTTTGCATCAGTATCATTGACCAAGCCATTGCCATCTTGAAATTCATTGGCATCACCTCCCACATCCAAAGCATCCTGATCCTGAAACATAATCACAGACTGAACTCCAACAGAACCCTCCCACCAGAAGCCCTCTTCTGCTGTGATTGGCCAGCCTCTCAGCCAAGGGGTGGGTTGTTTCTGAGACTCCAAGTGTGGAGGGGAGAGCAGGCATGCTTGGTTCATGGTAATGTGGCGAGGGAGAGCATACAAGGCTGGAGGGAGGCTCACCCCAGCGAGTCCCTTCAAGGCATGGGGGTTCTGTGTGGGAAGTTTGGCCCAATTCTGTCATTGGTGGGATTCTGAATGCTCTTTGATTGTAAGTGAACTATAAATCCCAGCAACTCCAACTCCTAAATGTCAAGGTCTATTTTCCCCAAACCCCACCAGGGATTCACATTTGAGCATATTGAGTATTCGAGCTATACAGCCTGGAAACTCACAGCAACCCAGTGATCCCGGCTATGAAACAACACATTCTATAAACCTGACTTACCACATTTCCAACCGACCTCACAACCTCTGAGGATGCCTACCATAGATGTGGGTGAAACGTCAGGAGAAAATGCTTCTGGAACCCATACAGACCACAAAACGCACAGCAACACAGAATCTATCTGGTTTGTAACTTGGAAACTGACTGTATCTCAAGAATGGATTAATCAAATAACTCACATTTTCCCAGGGTTTTTAAAATATACTTTTTCTTGGGATGTATAGTACCTGGGAGGTGACCATAGCTCTGGGACTTTACCCTACTTTTTTCTTTTCTTACTGCAGGATTTCCTGATGGAAACCTTCATTATGTTCAAAGACCTGATTGGGAAGAATGTCTATGCAAGTGATTGGATGGTCATGAACATGATGCAGAGCAGGTGAGCAAGAGCTGTAGTTTCCCTCCAAGAGCGAGGTAAAGAATGTATTTGGTTTAGGGCAGTGGTTCTCAACCTCGCTAATGCCATGACCCCTTAAGGCAGTTGTGGTGACTCCCAACCATAATATTGTTTTTGTTGCTACTTGATACCTCTCATTTTACTACTGTTATAAATCGTAATGTAAATATCTGATATGCAGGATGTATTTTCATTCCCTGGACTACATTGAGCACGAATACCCAATATGCCCAAATGTGAATGCTAGTGGGGTTGGGGGGAAGGATTGATTTTGTAATTTGGGAGTTGTAATTGCTGGGATTTATAGTTCACCTGTAATCAAAGAGCATTCTGAAGTACACCAGCGATGGATTTAAACCGAACTTGGCACACAGATCTCCCATGACCAACAGAAAACACTGGAAGGGTTTTGTGGCATTGACCTTGAGTTTGAGAGTTCTGGTTCACCTATATCCAGACGAATGCTGTGGATTCGTGCAATGATGGATCTGGACCAAACTTGGCACAAATACTCAATATGCCCAAGTGTGAACACTGGTGGAGTCTGGGGGAAATAGACCTTGACATTTGGGAGTTGTAGTTGTTGGCATTTATAGTTCACCTACAATCAAATAGCACTCTGAACTCGACCAACAACAGAATTGGGTCAAACTTCCCACACAGAATCCCAATGACCAACAGAAATTACTATGTTGTCTGCTGGTCTTTGGCGACCCCTTTGGCATCCTCTCACGACCCCCTCAGGGGTCCCGACCCCCAGGTTGAAAAACACTGGTTTAGGTAAAGGTAAAGGTTTCCCCTTAACGTTAAGTCGTGTCCGACTCTGGGGGTTGGTGCTCATCTCCATTTCTAAGAGCCGGCATTGTCCGTTGACACCTCCAAGGTCATGTGGCCGGCATGACTGACGTTGCCTTCCCACCGGAGCGGTACCTATCGATCTACTCACATTTGCATATTTTCAAACTGCTAGCTTGGCAGAAGCTGGGGCTGACAGCAGAGCTCATGCCGTTCCCTGGATTCGAACCTCCAAGCTTTTGGTCAACAAGTTCAGCAGCTCAGCGGTTTAACCCACTGCGCTCCATATGTATGCGTGTTATATAATATGTCTTTATTTTTAATGATTTTCTGTATGTCTTTGTTGTCAGTAATTGCAATGCTTTACCTATGTCGGAAACCACCCTGAGTCCCCTCGGGGAGATAGAGCAGTATATAAATAAATTATTATTATTATTATTATTATTATTATTATTATTATTAAATCAGGACAATTAAATCAGCCCCTCGTGGCACAGGGGATTAAACACGTCAGAGGTTCGAATCTGGGGAGAGCACAGATGAGCTCCCTCTGTCAGCTCCAGCTCCCCATGCTGGGACATGAGAGAAGCTTCCCACAAGGATGGTGAAACATCAAAACATCCAGGCAACGTCCCCTAGGCAGCGTCCTTGCAGACGGCCAATTCTCCTACACCAGAAACGACTTGTGCTGGCAGGACTGAAGACTGACACGTCAGAGGTTCGAATCTGAGGAGAACTCAGATGAGCTCCCTCTGTCAGCTCCAGGGCAGTAAATAAAGGGCAACACTAAAAAAAAAGGGGGGGGGGAATTCCAGACAGGAAACAATCAGGGTCAGCTAACACTTCCCAACAAAGATTCCCTCCAGGCAGGAAGCAGCCAGGCTTTGAAGCTGCAAGGCCATTCAGTGCTAATCAAGGTGGCCAATTGCAACATTCACACTTGCCTCCAACAGTCAAGAGTTCTTTCTCCCACCCTGGACATTATTCCACAGATATATAAACCTCACTTGCCTAGTTTCCAACAGACTTCACAACTTCTGAGGATGCCTGGCCTAGATGTGGGTGAATTGTCAGCTCCTAGGTTGGCAGAAGCTGGAGCTAATAGTGGGAGCTCACCCCTCTCCTTGAATTTGAACCACTGACCTTTTGGTCAGCAAGTTCAGCAGCTCAGCAGTTTAACCCGTTGCAACACTGGGGGCTCCTATATTTGGTTTGACTTATAGATGCCCTGACAATTTGTGTGATTGCATTTTGAATGATGCATTGTGCTGGAAAAGCTTCAGAAGGAGACAGGCTGAGCAAATAGCAATTCTCTTGTGTCTAGGCTGCAGTTTTATCCTACTGCTCATTGCAATATATTAAATTATAAAGTTTCTGAACCACTAGTTGTTTTTTACTGTCAGAGGCATCTGCTTAACATTCTTAAGAGACCAAATTTCCCCCCAAAAATGGCCCTATTGCTTAGGAAAGTAAAATACAATGTCAAATAACTTGTGAACATGTTGTGGGCACTGCCTGTGGTTTTGCAGGAATGAGAGAGAAACCGGAGGCCTTTTCTCTGGCATTTTCTCATCTAGATCCACCCTATATTTCCAGGATTTTCCTTCGTGCCATCAACCAATACACTTCTGTGCTCAACCGGTACTTTTTGGACCAGGCAAGCTTTGAACTGCAGGTAAGGATGGACATCTAAGGTGGGTCTCAACCTTCCTAATGTCATGACCCCTTAATACAGTTCCTCATGTTGTGGTGACCCCCAACCATAACATTATTTTCATTGCTACTTCGCAACTCTAGTTTTGCTATTGTTATGAATCATAATACAAATATCAAATATGCAGGATGTATTTTCATTCACTGGACCAAATTTGGCACTAATACCCAATACATCCAAATTTAAATCCTGGTGGGGTTGGGGGAGGGATTGATTTTGTCATTGGGAGTTGTAGTTGCTGGGATTTATAGTTCACTTACAAACAAAGAGCATCCTGAATTCCACCAACGATGGAATTGAACAAAACAACAGACAGGAAAGAATCAGGGACATCTAATCCCCTCTCATCAAAAGATTGCCCCAGGCACTGCCAGGCCAGCAAATGCTAATCAAGGTGGTCAGTTGAAACATTCACACCGAGCTCCAACAGACAAGAGTTCTTTGTCCCACCCTGGTCATTCCACAGATATATCAACTCATTTTCCTAGTTCCAACAGACCTCACTACCTCTGAGGATGCTTGCCATAGATGCAGGGGAAATGTCAGGAGAGAATGCCTCTAGAACATGGCCCTATAGTCTGAAAAAACTACAACAACCCAGTGATTCCAGCCATGAAAGCCTTCAACAATATATTTAGCATGAATACTCAATATCCCCAATTGTGAACACTGATGGAGTTTGGGGTAAATAGATCTTGACATTTGGGAGATGTAGTTGCTGGGATTTATAGTTCACATACAGTCAAAAAGCATTCTGAACTCCACCAATGATGGAATTGAACCAAACTTGGCACAAAGAAATCCCATGACCAACAGAAAATACTGGGTTCGGTCGGCATTGACCTTGAGTTTTGGAGTTGTAGCTCACCTACATCCAGAGAGTATTATGGACTCAAACTATGATGGATCTGGACCAAACTTGGCACGAATACTCAATATCCCCAATTGTGAACAATGGTGGAGTTTGGGAAAAATAGACCTTGACATTTGGGAGATGTAGTTGCTGGGATTTATAGTTCACCTACAATCAAAGAGCATTCTGAACCCCACCAAGGATAGAATTGGGCCAAACTTCTCACACAGAAACCCTATGACCAACAGAAAATACTGTGTTTTCTGATGTTCTTTGGCGACCCCACTGACATCCCCCTGCAACCCGCCCCCAGGGGTCCCGACCCCAGTTTGAGAAGCTAATGATACAATACAATATAATATAATATTATATATATATATACACATATAAGATTTATAATATTATAATGTAATGCAATATAGTACTAATAATAATATGTTACTATAATTATATATTTATATGACGTGTAACATTACTAATAATATTACAATATAATGGTATTTATTTATCTTGTCTTCAGCAACCATACCAGTGTATTACAATATAATGGTATAATACAATATAGTAATATATAATACTGATATTGCACTATGCTAATAATATAATATATTGTATGTATATATTCCTGGTAAGCCGCTCTGAGTCCCCTTTGGGGTGAGAAGGGTGGCATATAAATGTCGTAAATAAACAAATAAATAAATAAACATTGATCTAACCAAAGTTAAATATTCTTACCAGAGAGTTCCCTTGATAGGGAACATGAAAACAGCTCGGCACCTGTCCCAGCTGCAGAAATTAATGAGCAAATAAATAGCTGGAAGTCTGCAAAATCATGAAGAGTTATTACTTCCTGATTAATATTCTGATTTGCACCAGAATATTACTTATTTGCATATTTTATATTGCTCTCCCATGACTGGGGCCCAAGGTGGTTCACGGCTTGATTGAAATCTTAAAAAACTAAAAGCATCCTCCAGTTGGACATCACTATACAATTTAACCATTTGTCATCATACAACCAACAAATTCAAAAGGGAGAGATCCACAGAAGATCAAAAGCCCATTTCTCAACAGCCAGATTGTGTTCACGTCTTGTTTTCTTTCACCAACAGCTCTGGAACAACTACTTCCACTTGGCAGTCGCCTTTCTCACGCATGGCTCCCTCCAGTTGGAGACCTTCTCCCAGGCAAAACGGAACAAGATAGTCAAGAAGTAAGTTTTCATGTGAGTTTCCCCCCTTTCATTCTCTTACCTTCTGTAAAGGTACCCCCAAATGCAATGCACTGCAGTAGTCAAGATCAGAGAGTGTTTCTGATGAGGGTGATGGGACTCAGGTTCACAGTTTGGTTCAAGATGTCCCTGCTATAGACCAGGGGTCCACAAACTTTTTCAACAGAGGGCCGGGTCACAGTCCCTCACACTGTTGGAGGGCTGGATTATAATTTGAAAAAAAAAGAATGAATTCCTATGCACACTGCACATATTTATCTATTTTTATTTATTATTCGAACTTCTATGCCGCCACTCCCCTGGGGCTCGGAGCGGCTTACAAGAATGGCTAAAATCTAACACAATTTTAAAACAATTTAAAAACAGCAATATCAAAAATCAAAGGCCTGTCGAAACAGGTATGTCTTACATGCCCTGCGGAAAGCTGATAAGTCCCGCAAGGCACGGACTTCAGGTGGCAGAGTATTCCAGAGTGATGGTGCCACTGCTGTGAAGGCTCTGCACCTGGTTGCTGTTAGACGCAAGGTGTAATAAAGAACGCGAGGCGAGGTGTCTCTAACCGCACCTGTGTGACAGGGGGAAAACCTTTCTATCCCCACCTGACACCACTGTATTAGAGAACGCTGACCGATCACCTTGTGTGACAGGAATTTGCATGAGGGAATGACTAATGGTGTGAGAAACTGATGATACTGGTAGATTTTTGCCGCCACCACCTCAATTTTACTGTTTGAGGAAACAAAGGTGTGAATATATTCGAGGTAATATGCACCCAGGCTCCAGGTCCTTCTTTTTGGGCTCCTTTGCTTGCTGACTGGACTATAAAGAGATTTAGGTTGTCTTGGTTTCACTAAGTATGACAGACTGAGGCAGACACCAGTTAACGATGAACTAATAACAGGTTTATTGAACTTCAAGAAGATGATATAATAACTTCGAGAGATGTCCGGGCAGGGGGCAAAAGGAATCCCACCGCTGCCACCAATTATAAGGACTCAGAGGCTTATCTGGGCAGGGGGGTCAAAGAATCCCACCACTGTCCTTCCTTCAATAAGGAAAACACACCACTTTGGCTCTCCTAGTGTTTGAGGGGTTGTCTCGTTGTGTAAAACCTTCGCTGCCACCATAAACTAAAGAAATCACGAACCCTCTAGCTATTTAAAATGTTATCAGGCTGAAATTATTATTAAAAGGCTTGTTTTACTCCACCAAAGGCTGTGTATTAACAAGGGCTTTCTTGGAGGGGAAAACAGGAGAGGTTGATTAAACAAGGAAAATGACTCCAACCAAAAATGGCACTTGACTCAGGCTTGAAGTTTAAAAATAACAAGAAAGAGTTTATTGTTTACAAATGACAGGAATAAAAGCGAATGCAGGTTCAGAGGCTTGGTGGTTACAAATACAAGTGTTCTTAGTTCTTATAAGCGTAATGGTTACTTGAGAGAATGTTCTTTCCTTTTGTTACCATTGGTTAAACACAAAAACCCAGCTATTTACTTTTCTAAAAATAGCTGTAACTCAGTCTGCCACAGCCTACTGTGCTGTGCAAACTACAGGCAAGCTGCCTATTCTTAACAGAGACTCCTAAATCCTGCTCTAACCTCTCTCACAGAACTGAACTGCTCTCTACTCTACTCAGAACTCATCTAACTCTCATCTGAACTGAACAAATTAAGCTGTTCTCTTTCCCTCCATTCTGGCTAACTCCGCCTCTCTTTCCTTAACCAATCCTGGCTGTTGCTGGGCTGGCACAGGCCTCGGCCACTCCCCCTTCTGAACTGGAGCTTTTCCCTAACCTAAGATGGCTCCAGCAGCTCTCTGCCAGGCCTTCTAAGCTGAAACCACCCAGCCTGTCCTTCCTGGCCCTGCCACCCTGGCTGGCAAGGTAAGGGATCTTTACAGATGACAACTCATAAAATGAGTGGTACACACGCGTATCTTTGTTACTGAGGCTTAGGCTTACTAGACATAAAGTTTCTACCAAAGGAGTAGCTTTTACTTGAAGTGAGTTCCCTTCTTCACACTATTCAACTCTCTGAAACAGTGTGTTCCTAAGATCAGTCCCCCTGACTGTCTTACAGAGTAACCAAACTTTCTCCAGTCTACTCTCCGCTATAGGGCAATAAGCCTTCTTGTACTCTCTATTAATACAAGTTGACAAGTCTTCTCACTGACTCTCTTAGTACAGTAATACTGAAGCCCTTGTCCCTTTCTTATTCCCTAACAGCTTGACTCACTCAAAAGCTTCCTTCTCCCTGTCTAAATCCTCCTACTCTGTTAAAATCCTTCTCCCTGTTCTCTCAGAACCCTTCCCTCTGTTCGTTAGAACCCTTCTCTCCCTCCTGTCAGAAGTGACAGCCTTTTTCACTCTCACCCAACTCCTCCCCTTGGTACTTAAACCAATCAGGAGTGGGCTGACTCCTCCCCTGCCTCCTTGCCTATACTAAGATGGAGACCCAGCCTACTGACTCTCAGGCTTCGGCCTAGCCGACAAAGGTTAGAATCCATTACACAAGGTCTTGACACTGGGGATTTCCAATAGATCTTGGTCCTCAGAACAGAGGGATCTCTGGGGTTGGTAGGGGTGAGGCGGTCCCTCAGGTACATTGGCCCCAGACCATGCATATCTTATTTGTAGTGCAAAAACAACTTTAAAACAATACAATCATTAAAATGAAGAACAATTTTAATAAATATAAGCTTAGTAGTATTTCAATGGGAAGTGTGGGTCTGCTTTTGGCTGATGAGATAGGATTGTTGTTGTTGTTATTGTTGTGTGCTTTCAAGTCATTTCAGACTTAGGTTGACCCTGAGTGAGGGCTGGGTAAATGACCTTGGAGGGCCGTATCCAGCCCCCGGCCTTAGTTTGAGGACCCATGCTATAGACAGTGAAGAAGAAGTGCAGTTTCCCACAGCAAGGCATGAGAGTGTTGATACTGAAGATAGCAGCCAGGTGCAGATTGACTCCGAGAAGGATTGTTCTTCACCTGGTTCTCAACCTGTTAACGAGCAGATTGACCTTGATGATACGGGAACTTTAGATAGGGCCGCCTGTTTGGAATTCCGTGTTCGAAGGAGTGAAAGGATAGCTAACAAGAGGGAGGCCAGAGGCCAAAGAAACGCCTTCATGTTTTGCAAAAGGTATTAAACCAGAGGTTTGAGACCAGATCTTTGTCAAAGCATCTTTCGCATTTACCTAAGGAGCTTGCCTAAGCTAGGCTGGATTTACCTTACAGTCTTTGTGTACATGGTTCCAGGACTTTGTCATGTTCTTTCGAATCTTGCTTTGCTGATGCCTATTGGATAGGGCTGGGCGGTTTCGTTTCGTTAATTCGTAATTCGTTAATAATTCGTTAATTTTTCAATTACAAAACGATAACGAACCATTCTGGAGCAATTTTAAAAAAAACGAATTTTCAAAAACGTTTTGTAAATGCTTCGTATTTCGATATCGTATTCGTTTCGTTATTGTTTTGAGGTCGTTTCGTTATTATTTCCGCATGTCTGGGCCAGTTTTATGGTTTAATTAGTGAAAAAAAATTATAATATCACACCAACAGTCAACAACAGAGGGAGAGGGAAGCTTCAGAAGGTTTTGGAGGTTTTTTAGCGTATTTCGCGGTCGCGTCCGCCATTAACGAATCGATTCGTTATTGTTTCGGAAATCGATTCGTTAATTTTTTACCATTTACGAAATTTCGTAAATATCGAACTTTTTAAAAGGAAAATTTTGTAATTATTTTAAATATCGAAACAAAAAAAAACCCCAAATACAAATCGATTTTAGAAACAAATTTTTCCGTTGTTACCCAGGCCTACTATTGGATTATGCTTCAAGTGCTATGTTATCCTGATCTTTTGGAACATTAACCTTTGCTTTTATGAACTTTTTACCTTTTATTTTTAATAAACCATAAAGACTTCTGGCTGTGTGCAGTTTGGTGTTCTTCAGTAAGGTGAATCTATTCTGAGGTGCAACACCTGGGTCCCAGGCCTTAGTTTGCCCATGCCTGATTTACACTCTTTAGAACAATTGAAACCTCCTCTTAAAAGAATAACGTGGTTTTAAAAACATAACAGCCTCTTATAAACAGCTCCATTTAAACAATATAGCACTGTTTAGCCCAGAAATGCTTTCTGTTTTTAAAAGCCTGTTGCAATAAATAGGGTTTTGCGTGCCAGGAGAAGGACAACAAGGAGACCAATTCTTCACAATGCACACTTCTCTGAATTTTGCAGGAGAAAGCTCTAATAAAAATATGGTGTACAAAAAAGATCTATAGTAGTGGAAATAGCAATAAATTGTGAAAATTGCTTGCCCTAAAAAATGTGTTTTAAGCACAGTTGTATACAATATATATATATATACTAGCTGTCCCCTGCCACGCATTGCTGTGGCCCCATCTGGTGATCTGGAAACTAAAGTAATGAGAAAGTGTTAGTTTCTAATCTATGTCATGTCTTACTGCTTGTGGGTAAACAGTATTTTTTGCTGTTTCTTTGTCCGTGTTGATATGGAGAGTGTCTGGTTTGCCTATTCTGGAACATGCAAGTTATCATTGTCCTTCTTTAAGGATCCCTTTCAAATCTATAATACTATATCTGTGTGTGTGTGAATTATCTCTCTCTCTCTCTCTCTCTCTCTCTCTCTCTATCTTTATGGCTGGATGGCTCTTTGTCAGGAGGGCTTTGATGACGTTTTCTTGCCCTGATGAAGGGAGTTGGATTGGATGGCCTTAAATATTTTCTCATGGTCATGGGGGTTCTGTGTGGGAAGTTTGCCCCAATTCGGTTGTTCATGGGGTTCAGAACGCTCTTTGATTATAGGTGAACTGTGAATCCCAGTGACTACAACTCCCAAATGTCAAGGTCTATTTCCCCCAAACTCCATCTGTGTTCATATTTGGGCGTATTGAGTGCTTGTGTCAAGTTTGGTCCAGATCCATCATTGTTTGAGTCAACATTGCTCTCTGGATGTAGGTGAACTACAACTCCCAAACTCAAGGTCAATGCCCACCAAACCCTTCCAGTATTTTCTGTTGGTCATGGGAGTTCTGTGTGCCAAGTTTGGTTCAATTCCATCGTTGATGGAGTTCAGAATGCTCTTTGATTGTAGGTGAACTATAAATCCCAGCAACTACAACTCCCAAATGACAAAATCACAATTTTTTGAGTGATGGTCACTCCTTGTGTTGTGAGACATTTTGTTGCCAAATTTGGTGTGATTTCATTCATTGGTTCTTTTGTTTTTAAGGTACTCATTATGCACAGAGCATTTATATAGAGAGAGATTTAAGATAAATGCATAGCAAAATATGGACCCCTAACTTTGCAAAACTTAAAAAGTAAATCAGCTCTTACTTTCTCTGGATGTGTATTAAGCAAATATACAATCTCTCTTTCTCTCTCGTCCTCGCCTATTTGTCTACAGATATGGGGACATGAGGAAGGACATTGGCTTCAAGATCAGGGACATGTGGTACAACCTTGGTAAGCTCCTCATGACTTGCAGTGGCAAGTGTATTTGTGGAGTGTGTTGTGGTTGATAACGTTCTGGGATGTCAGAAGAGATAACAGCTTCTCCTTTTGTAAGTAACTTCACCCACTGCCTTGGGACTAACAGCCAGCCAGATATCTATCTTTCCATTCATTTCATCCACTCCATTTTTTGCAGCCTTTGCCGATGACGAGTTTTGGAGAATTCCAGAAATTTCCCGCCATTATGAAATTATAGTTAGTCTGTCTGCTGACAATAACATCTATCCCTGGATTTTGGAATTTGGACCAAGCCAACACTGCCAACCTGTTTTCTGCCTTCTGAATTTTGCACTTTCCCTTAGCTCTATCTAGGAATTTGCACAAACCCGAGCCCTCTGAACTCAGCACTTTTGTCATTCTATATAATGTTATGCTTTATTGTGATATGTTATTTGGTTTTGTTTTGATTCTATCTTATACTGTTATGTTTTTAACTCTGTGCTCCCTGGGTTTGTCCCTTTGTAAGCTGCCCCGAGTCTCTTCGGGGAGCTGGAGGCGGAGTATAAAAATAAAGTTGTTATTATTTTTGTTGTTTAAGCAGGAAATGTCATGTTGTGAAGCACCAGAGCTTGAAAACATTCTTAGAGGATTGGAAAAGGGTGCCTCATAATCCCCAACCAGAATGCTGGAAAAGGGTGCCTCATAATCCCCAGCCAGAATGCTGGCTCCAAAAGGGAACCTTTTGGAGCCAGCATTCCCCCTGAAGGCGCAGGTTCGCAGTTTGGGAGTTCTCCTAGATTCATCGCTGAGCCTGGAACCTCAGGTCTCGGCGGTGGTCAGGGGAGCTTTTGCACAATTAAGACTTGTGCGCCAGCTGCCTTGGGAAGTCTGACTTGGCCACGGTGGTCCACGCTTTGGTTACATCCCGTTTAGACTACTGCTACGCTCTCTACGTGGGGTTGCCTCTGAAGACTGCCCGGAAGCTGCAGCTAGTCCAACGCTCGGCAGCCAGACTACTAATGGGTGCTGGGTACAGGGAGCACACCACTCCGCTGTTACTCGAACACCACTGGCTGCCAATTAGCTTCCGAGCACAATTCAAAGTGCTGGTGTTAACCTATAAAGCCCTAAACGACTCCAGCCCTGTTTACCTCTCCGTAAGTATTCTCCCCTACGAACCATCAAAATTATTAAGATTGTCTGGAGGGGCCCTGCTCTCGGTCCCATCGGCCTCGCAAGCGCGCCTGGTGGGGACGAGGGACAGGGCCTTCTTGGTGGTGGCCCCGCGACTCTGGAACTCTCTCCCACTGGAGATCAGAACTGCCCCTTCTATCCTGACATTCAGGAAACAGGTGAAGACGTGGTTATGGAGACAGGCATTCGACGAGTGAGCCAACACCCTGAGATATGGATGGAGGATGATGAGCAACGATTTTAGTGTGACGACTGACCATTGTAGTTATTGAATGTAATTGCTGTTTTAATGTTTTATTGTAATATGAATTATGATGTTTTATTGACTGTGATTTTATGGTTGGAAACCGGTCTGAGTCTCTCAAGAGAGGTGAGAAGGCCGGTGTACAAAACTTTTAAATAAATAAATAACCTTTCCATGCCCTGGAAGGATTCTTTGAGTTTTGGAAGGAGTGAAAGAGAGGCCACAAATAGGAACAGAATCCAAAATGTCACTTTCTAGGGATGAGATTTTCCCCAATGTAGTTTCCCCCCTTCTCCCCAACCCCACTCCTGCACCCAGGGCATCTGTTTCATGGTAGCATTAATCTTGGAGTTCCCCATGGCAATGAGAGGAAGCAACCAGAAGCCACTCAATTGTACGTTTTGCATATGAAAGACTTCAATTGAAGGCAATGAATGGGTATATGGCAGCTGCCTCCCTTGTGCCCTGGAGATCTCCCAGAGGGCAAAACAGCCATCTGCTCTCTGCCTAATCCCTTCCTTCTTTTCCTCCTTTTCCAGGGCCTCACAAGATCAAGTTCATCCCTTCCATGGTAGGACCGATCCTGGAGGTGACCTTGACGCCAGAGCCTGAATTGCGCAAGGCAACCATCCCTATCTTTTTTGACATGATGCAGTGTGAATTCACCTTCAGTGGCAACAGGAATTTCCACATGGTATGGGATCATTTGTGGGGTGCTAAAGTGGGTTTATGGAATGAATGTATGAGGAAATTGTTGCACTCCAGGACAGGAATAATCCTCTGACTTTCAACGCCACATGTTGAATAAGAAAAACAATCCATAGCAGAGCACCTGATGAACCAACCTAGACACAGCCTATTATTTGAGAACACAGAAATGCTGGACCACTCTCACAACCACCATGTCAGACTACACAGAGAAGCCATTGGAATCCACAAGAAGCATGTGGACAATTTCAACAGAAAGGAGGAGACCATGAAAATGAACACAATCTGGCTACCAGTATTAAAAAACTCAAACATTACAACAGCAAAACAACAGAGAACAAGCCCTATGAGGAGCGGCTTAAGGAGCTGGGCATGTTTAGCCTGAAGAAGAGAAGGATGAGAGGAGATATGATAGCCATGTATAAATATGTGAGAGGAAGCCACAGGGAGGAGGGAGCAAGCTTGTTTTCTGCTTCCTTGGAGACTAGGACGCGGAACAATGGCTTCAAACTACAAGAGAGGGATTCCATCTGAAGATGAGGAAGAACTTCCTGACTGTGAGAGCCGTTCAGCAGTGGAACTCTCTGCCCCGGAGTGTGGTGGAGGCTCCTTCTTTGGAAGCTTTTAAACAGAGGCTGGATGGCCATCTGTCAGGGGTGATTTGAATTCAATATTCCTGCTTCTTGGCAGGGGGTTGGACTGGATGGCCCATGAGGTCTCTTCCAACTCTTTGATTCTATGATTCTATGATTCTAGAGGGGAAACAAACAGGCACATAAAATCACTCTCAACAAAAGATTTCCCCCAGGCACTTCCAAGCCATTGAATGCTAATCAAGGTGATCAGCTGAAACATTCACAGCTAGCCCCAGCAGACAAAAGTCCTTTGTCTCACCCTGGTCATTCCACAGATATATAAACCCATTTTTCCTACTTCCAACAGACCTCACTACCTCTGAGGATGCTTGCCATAGATGCAGGCGAAACGTCAGGAGAAAAATTGCCTCCAGAACATGGTCATATAACCCGGAAAAACCTACAACAACCCAGTGATTCCGGCCATGAAAGCCTTCGACAATACAATCCTTTAATAATAATAATAATAATAATAATAATAATAATAATAATAATAATAAAAACTTTATTTGTACCCCGCTACCATCTCCCCAAGGGACTCGGTGCAGCTTACATGAGGCCAAGCCCACAATACATCAATAAACAAAACATCAATTAAAACAGTCAATACAATACAATTTATATTAAACATAACAAACATAAGCAATAAACAATCAACAGTGACATACGACATGTTAAAAACCAATGGCTGGGCCAAATGCAATAAATTAAAAATAAAATAAAATAATGCTGATGTGACGTGAACATTTTCAGAGAGAATTGAGGGAATGCATTCAGTCCTAAATCAATGGTAAAGTGCATCTTGAGGGCATATTGCTGAGAGTTTTCTTATTCTGGGAAGGCACACTGGAACAACCACGTTTTCAGGCTCCTAAAAACTGGCAAAGTTGGGGCATGTCTAATGTCCTTGGGAGTGAGTTCCAGAGTCAGGGGGCCACTACTGAGAAGGCCCTGTCCCTCGTCCCACCAATCGTGCCTGCAAAGGAGGTGGGAGTGTGAGCAGGGCCTCTCCAGATAATCGAAGAGATCGTGTGGGTTCATACACAGAAATGCAGTCACGCAGGTAGGTAGGTTCCAAACCGTTCAGGAATTTGTAGGTCAAAACCTGCACCTTGAATTGGGACCAGAAAATGAACGGCAGCCAGTGGAGCTCCTTAAACATGAGCATTTTACTGAAGATTAGTTAAAAAAAAAAAAGTAGAGCAAAAGGCACTTTAAAAATGGGTAAATCCAAGTAGATAAGAAGATAAGCAGGAACAAATTAGTCCCAGGTAGAGTTCAGCAAAGTCCATAAAAGCAAAGTCCACTCAACTCCAATACAATCCAAAAAATCAGGAATACATTGATCCGAAGCTTGGTAAGCAGTCATGAAATCCAGGAATCAAAACCATGAAACAAGAAATATCTTAACATGAATCTTTAAAACAAGGCTTCCATGAACAAAGATGAGAACTTGACGTGATTCTAAACGATGCTTCATCTGACTACACATCCCAAACTTGTGACTTTTATCTCCTAGTTAGCTAGGTCACTAGCAGTCAGAAATTAGTTTCTCTTTACTTGAGGCTTTGTTATTGTTTTCTGTCAAAGCCTGGCAGAGCACCTAAGCCATTGCTCAGCTCTCCTGTTTTGACTGATCTCTTCTCATCTATCTCTTGGCTCGTTATCTACTTGCTCATTAATTTTTGCAGCTGGGCCAGGTGCCGAGCTATTTTCATGTTCTCTCTCATGAGAACTCTGGTAATAAGAGAGCAGCTTCCCATTTTCATGTTCTCTTTCATGAGAACTCGTAACAATTCAGAGAGCACACCATCATCCCCACACCCTTCAGGGACATTCTCATGGGAAACTACAGGGATCTTCTGGTCATTCTCTGCATCAATATCACTGACCAAACCATTGCCATCTTGAAACTCATCTTGAACCTCATTAATATCATCCCCCACATCCAAAGCACCCTGATCCTGAAACACAATCACAGGCTGAACTCCAACAGAAATAGGGTTTGAGAATCGAGGAGGCTCTTTTGAAAAACTGGAAGCTGCTCTCTGGAATCCAGTCATTAGTTCCTCTAAATCCAGACTGTCCGTTCTGACTGCTAACAATAGCTCTCCAAAGCACACAAAGCAGAATGTATTGTTTCTTCTCGTGAAGATTTGAGTGTTTCAAATCAGATTGTATTTATTTATTTACAGCATTTTTATTCCGCCCTTGACATCTCGAAGGGGACTCAGGGCAGATCACAGAACACATACACAACAAACATTCAATGCTGTTAGACAGGACAGACAACAGATAGAGGTATTATGTTGGCATTTTTCCCAACTACGGTGTTCTGGAGGTTGTGCTCTATTCTGGTCACAGGGGGTGCTGTTGCTCCATTTTAACCCAAAATGTTCAGGAATGCTTCTTATAGTTTGTCACTTTTGTTACAATCAAAGGCCTTTCATTTTTTTAAAAAAATAATTTTTATTGCAATTTTGTCATATTGACTATAAAACATCAAGATAGAATCATAGAATCAAAGAGTTGGAAGAGACCTCATGGGCCATCCAGTCCAACCCCATTCTGCCAAGAAGCAGGAATATTGCATTCAAATCACCCCTGACAGATGGCCATCCAGCCTCTGTTTAAAAGCTTCCAAAGAAGGAGCCTCCACCACACTCCGGGGCAGAGAGTTCCACTGCTGAACAGCTCTCACAGTCATGTTCAGATGGAATCTCCTCTCTTGTAGTTGTTCCGTGTCCTAGTCTCCAAGGAAGCAGAAAACAAGCTTGCTCCCTCCTCCCTGTGGCTTCCTCTCACATATTTATACATGGCTATCATATCTCCTCTCAGCCTTCTCTTCTTCAGGCTAAACATGTCCAGCTCCTTAAGCCGCTCCTCATAGGGCTTGTTCTCCAGACCCTTGATCATTTTAGTCGCCCTCCTCTGGACACATTCCAGCTTGTCAATATCTCTCTTCAATTGTGGTGCCCAGAAGTGGACACAATATTCCAGGTGTGGTCTAACCAAAGCAGAAAGATAAAGAGAAAGGGAAAAAAGTAGATTACAGGTTGCACAATGAAAGTGGGAGAACATTTATTTGTATAGAAAGTAGGAAAACAGGAAAGGTAAGAAATAATAAAAATAATTTTAAAAGGAAAAAATACGAGAAGAAAAAAATTATATATATATATATATATTTGTTGACTTCTTTCTTACTTCTGATGGTTCTTTAAAATTATTTGAAATTATGTTTTGTTTGATCCACTTCCCCTCCATCTACTTCTTCTCTAAGGATTGGATAACTTCAACATTTGTTGAAGTTATCAATCAAAGGCCTTTCAAAGTACTTTCAGTCATTGTGCTTTTCTTTTGTTTCTGGTTTGGATCATTAACTTACAGTTTGAAGATGAGCTAATAACTAAGCTGGATCAAGAAGTTGAAGGTGGCCGAGGGGATGAACAATACAAGATTTTGCTGGAGAAACTGTAAGTAGATGTGGTTTTGGGCATAATGTCTTCAACAGAAAAATCTAAAGTCTGATGTCAGAAGTAGAAATAACATGTAAGGAACTGAGTTAGGTCTCTACAGCACACACACAAAAGAGCAATTCAACATGATTCAGCCATTTTTTTTACTCAAAATTAAAATACGCATGTGCGATGTGGAACAATCAGATCATAAGTAAACACAAACATTTAAAGAGCATAGAAAGTTTCTTTCGTTCATGCATTAGTAATACATATGTAACAGGCTTGTGCAAAAAATTGGAAGTTTCGGAAATCATAAGAAAATTGGAAGATTTGTAAGTTGGAAGCAGTATTTGAAGTGTTCGCGTGTGTTGCAACCCAGAGCAGGAAACTGGACCCTCAGACAACAATCCACCACACTTGGCTTCAGGAAAACAATCCTTTTTTATTGGTGAAAGATGAATACAAAATAGAGGTAATATGCAAAGGTAAAAAGTCACAGTAAAAATCAGCAACAAGAAATGTCCATAAACAAGATCATGAAACCCACAGCAAAACTGCTGAATCCTGGAACCTGTTAGCAATCCACTAACCATACTTGGAACAACTAGAAAACCTCCGAGGAACAAGGCCACTTGAATCAGGAGACCTGCAAAAGCTTGCACATGAATCTGGAACGATGCCTGGTCTGAAGCTGCATTCAGGCCAGGCATACTTAAGGCCGAGAAATCTATTGCGAGACACGCCTGAAGTTTTTGTTTGCATTTCTTTCAATCTAGCTGACCTACGTAAACATTGTGCTTCTCCCCGGCTCTGCCAAATCTGCCCCCGCCTATCCTCATTAGGCAGACCAGATGTCAGATTCTCTGGAGAACTAAGGCTGGGAGGAAAAGGGAGTGAAACTTTTCTGCTCGACTCAGAATGTATGTTCTCATGGGAATTTTGACTTTCACTTTCCAAGACTGTAGGATTTTCACTACTCAAACCATCATCATCTAAATTGGCCTCAGAATGCACATGGACATCTACATTGGCATCAGGAAATACAATCAGAGAATCAGGTTCACACACAGGCTGAACCCCAACAGTGTGGTCCTCACAAAATACTTTAGAATTGAAACTTACCCCATACTTTTTCATTGTAGTTTTGTAAACCTCGGAAAGCTCTCAATGTCAGTGTCATATTCAATGCAAGACAAGGAAGCAAAGCCAAAGGCTGACTTAGTGCCTTGCCACTCCTTTGTGGAATTAGCAGCGGGCCAAAGAGGGAGCAGTGCATTTTGGGAATAGCACCGAACTCTGGGAAATGTAGTTTGGGAAGAGAGCAGCCCTATGCCAGAGAATTCAAAAGGCCTTGCCCTAAATTACATTTTCCAGACTGCATCAGCATCAGAAAACACCAATCAGGATAGCGGAGAGAGAGGTTTGACCCTCCCTAAAACTGAACATTCCCCAAATATCCATGGATAAGTGAAACGGTTCTGAAATTTGGTGGGCTAACAGTGGTAAATGTGTTCTACCATTGTAACAAGTTTCACCCCAATAGCTTTAAAATGAGGGAGAAAGGAGCCCCTGAAGTTTCCCCAATTATAGTAATTATGCACATGCACAATTACTATAACAAAATAGTAACAATAATACAATGGAAATAAAATAAAAATGGTGCCTAATCACACATGTCTTCCTTCACCCCAGCTTTATTTACCCATTCAACTCCCCCTGTTCAGACAAGCAGAGGACCTTTTATATATACCGTATATTCCGGGGTACAAGACGACTTTCTAAGCCTGAAAAATCATCTCAAAAATGGGGAGTC